ATTAGAAACACCGACGCAGTCCACGCTAGTGTTTACTAGCCATCATCTACATCATCACTCAGTGTTTCTTGTTTCTTTTTAGGTGTTACGTTTGTATAGTAATACAGCAAAGGCAAGGATACAAGATGTTATTATCCAAAATTTTAGGTATTAAAATTTACTTAGAGTACATTTGACATTATTGGACTGACTGAGTCCATGCAAAGGCATTACTCGTTTAACGTGGTTGGATTTTTATAGAGTTTTTTTGATTGTTTGAATCATGAACGTTATACTTTTAAAGCATAAAATATATAGTAATCAAATTCGATTTGGCCTTCCGTCCACACTAAAACGCTCGTTTTCATCGAAAACGCTCTCGAAAGTGGAGACATTTGAAAACGGAGATCTATCGTTTTAGTGTGGACAGTCGAAAACGGAGCCTTTCGAAAACGCTGACGTCACTCGCTTCCCCTGAGCTCTGATCCAGTCTTCTCGTCCATATGAAATCAAACATGGCGAATATAAACAAACTTGTGCTTTGGCTACTGGCGAATTTAATCGCGTGTTTGGAGCTTAACCTGGCTTTATTTAACCTTAAGAAGGGATGCTGCTCTAAGGACATTAGTCCTTTCAAGTTCTTCTCATATCGTAAAACTCGGGCAAAAACGCCTTATCAAAGGCCAAGAAGATTTTGGACTCGACCAGTTCGAACGAGCGCCTGGTGGGACAATTTTGTTTCTGAAATTGTGGTCCCAGAAGAGTGGAAAGAGAACTTTAGAATGTCTCGGTCTTCCTTAATAAAGCTATTTCAAACGTGTTGTCGATTTGTTTGAAAACCGCGCCGGCGGGAAATGCCACAAAGATCGCAGACACGCCTCTTTCAAGCATGCGCTGATTGATGCGCTACGTCACAACGAGTCGTGTATGCGTTTTCAAGCGTTTTAGTGTGGATGGTCAAAAACGCTATGAAAACGCTAGTGTGGACGCGAAGCAATTGATGCCTTTTCGGTAAGACAAAAACGGAGCCTTTCGAAAACGCATTAGTGTGGGCGGGGCCTAAGAGGCGGTTGAATATTAATGACGTAATTGTTGGTATCTTCAGAGCCAAGTATGGGACGGCCGTTAATGGAATAAATACAAATCGTTGTTTTTGAAAACCCTTCAACTTTCTTACAATTTAACAGCAAAGGAACACAAAGCAAAATAAGTAAACAAGTATAAAGTTCATTTCATTCAGCTAGTCGAGGAAGAAACCTATAAGAATCCAACCATTTTAGGTGTCAAACAGCATGGTAACGGTCGGTAGGGATGGTTACTACTTATCCAAAGAAGATGTTCAGACACGGCACATCCGTACCTTGAATACGGCATCTAGAAGACAATGTGTGCTGCTACCCTAATGTATTCTACTGAATGATAGTGTATTGTGACTCATTCAATATTGTTCAATCATTTATAAAGGAAAGGAAGTGTCATGGCAACGTTGATGGTTATAGCTACCATTCGTTCAGGCGCTGAACGTGAAGACGCAGAAAATGAAATCTTGTATACAATGATAATAGAGACAAAAGATGGTTATCTTGGTCAGATTCCCGTAGGCGAGATTATTGTTCAAGGTATATATGATAGCTGATGTCTTATAGATACAACGATACATGGTATGCAACAAACAGTGACCGAATGCATGTTGTTTGTCTGCAGGTGCTCCACCTCCACCTAATGTCCAGATAGTTTCCAAGCAGCCTAAATACGCCGTCTTATCGTTGGTTCGTCCAACATTCTTCAAGCAATACGAGATTGTTTCTTATAGCATCCGATACAAAAAACACGGTAAAAGCGATGATGCCTACAAAACTGTGGAAACCGTGAAAGATAAGGATGGTACAATGAAAGGTGTAGTAACAGGACTGGACCCTGGTCAGTTTTATTTCGTACAGGTGGCGTCACACCGTACTGTTTCAATGAATGCGGAAGGGAGTATCAAGTACAAGACACTAGAAGTGGATACTCCAGGTCAGATGCTATCGACTTTTAGTGAGAGAAAGTGAAGTTCATACATATAATGAATATTGCTAATTATTACTAACTTCTCTTTTTGTATACAGATATCATGATGAAACAAGTGATGCTCACCATCGTTCTCCCGGTAGGATTAGCAATAATCATTGCTGTTGTCATACTATTCTGTATTAGACCGTATGTCAGAAGCGAAGTTCAGGCTGATGGTCATCCTCCACATATGGTTAGTAAGGCATATTTAGTACATATCAGTCAAAGTCAATCCCATAACTATATCAATACTTGAACTTTCAGATACCTACCCGACAGTTTGTGCCGCGTGAAGAAAACTTATACGACATTGGAAGACTTTTGGAAGAATTCCCTTGCAGATGGAAGGAAATTCCCCGAGAAGATGTAACCRTAGGAAAAGAGCTTGGAGCAGGTGCTTTTGGAACTGTTGTTAGAGCAGAACTGAAACGAGATGGTAAAAA